TGAGACATGTTCGTGAAAAAGAGACTCTGTATATGACGGCTCGCGTCAACTGTGTAAAACTAAAGGCAAAAGTTTCAGATCGACAATTATGTCGAATGTTATTCACCCAAGTGTTTATTTATGGTTTAACAGGACTCATATTCTGTGTGGCATTTATTTACATATCAATGAATAGAGGTTCAGCAAGGACTATTCTCGACATTGCACAGGAAGATTTGATTATTACAATTGTTGGAATGCTGTCGAATATTGGTCCTTGCTCAAGTTTTTATTTGTATACGTTATCGAGCCGACTCTTTCGAAAGGAACTCGAGAATCTTTTCTATTCGAGTCACACACGTGCGGTGCAACTGAATGATTGTTGTACGGATACGAATGAGTTAGAGTTAGTAACAGTCCTGCAATCAGATCTATGCTGATTTTATTCAAAACTTTTGTATGCACTATAGTGTAATCCGTTTCAACACTTGACACTAGGTTAATAAACTCAATATTTGTTTTTAATCTCGAACGAGAAATTACTTCGGTATATATTCAGTAGATATTTTTTTTCGGAAACAACATGTGTATCGATTACTGAAAAAATTGAATTTGGAGAAGATCTGATTTCTTCTGTATATATAAATGCACCAGACTGAGAATGTCAGTGCTGATTTAATAGCGATCCCTGAAGCGTCAATGGACTCAATGAATGACAAAGACCGCTGTTGGTCACGGATGTTTAAAGTCGTCATCGTGTTATTGATGTTATCTCTCCTCGTTGCAGGTATTACCATCTCGGTAATATATTTAACACGAATATCAAATAGTACGTGCACATCAACTGGCACAGGTTTTCTTCCGAATGATACAACAAGATCGCCTCTACTAAACAATATTTCGGACGAAACTACACGCATCACGAGTAAATGTGTTTGTAAATAATTACACCCATATTCTGAGATGTATTTAATTTCAGGTACTTTGTTCACAACGGAAAATCCGTGTCAAATCACTAATCCATGCCAGAATGGTGTATGTTTATTGATCGATTAGATTTTCTTCCGATTGAACATTTCTGCTAAATAGGGTTCCTGTCATCCCAGAGGTATGAACGAAACGGTTTGCTCTTGTCCGGACTATTATTACGGACTGCGATGCGAACAAACCAATGTCACCACGGATAAACTAATTATTAGTCGAGTGCTTAGTCGTAATATATGGCCGAATGCGCTGGCAGTAATTGATGTTACAGGCTCAATGATTGGCTGTGCAACTACTATAGTTCAATGGATGAAACCGTTACATCGATCAACAACGATCAACATGTATGTTTTCTTCAATGATGGCGACAATAAAAATGATACTTCTAAAGTTATAAATGCAACTGGTGGTATCTATGCCGTAAATGCAACGAATATATCCGAAGTTCTACACATGATGAACTATGCCGCAAGTAAGGGTAATGGTGGCGATGACCCTGAGAATGATATTGAAGCGCTCCTTTATGGTATAAATCGATGTCCTTTATGTAAAAACATCATTCATATTGCCGATAATGCAGCCACACCTCGAGATTTAGTACTACTTCCATCTTTAAAAAACAAACGTATCAAAGTGATTCCATGTCAAGTTTCAAGCAATATTAATCCTGCTCTGATAGATATTGCTCGACGAACGAATGGATCACTCCATACACTCGAACAGGATATTTATGATTTTCCAATGAATACATCAGGATGATATACTATAACTCTTTTTGTTATATGTTGTGTTGATAGGGTGAACGCTTTATTTGTTAATTGTTGTTCGTGTAAGAGACAATAGAAGATCGTAATTTGTCGTGATTAACCACATGCGTCAATTATAATCATTGATGCATGAAACAATATCATGTTTGATGTAATTCATTACTCATACTTTCTCTTCGTTTAATAAACATATTATTCACACATTCATTTGTATATGCAACAATGTCGTCGAGCGCAAATACGAAGATTCAACGGAAAAACGAATTGTATGAAGTCGGTCCCGGGTTCTGGAATGTTCGTGGTCGATTCCGAATGTTTGCTCAAAAAGTCGATGTCGGAACACACATGTCAATCGTCCGGTTAAGTAACGGTAATTTTGTTATTTTCGACACTGTCGCACTTGACGATCATCTCAAAGAACAAATCAATCGATTGACTGATAATGGAAATCGAATTGAAGGTGTTATTGGTACACATTCGTTCCATACACGATCGTTTCTAGACTTTTATCAAACATATCCTCAAGCGGCATACTATGGCACACCAAGACACCTACGTCAACTACCAGAGATTCCATGGTTAGGAAGCCTTGATAATTGCAATGTTCGACAAAAGTGGGAACCGGATGTGGAAATGCGTATTACAGCAGGTGAGTCATAAGTTCGAAGAGTATGAAAGAAGAGTGTATTTCATTTTAGGTGGTGAATTCATCAATCCACGACATGGATCTAGTCATTTAATGAGTGTATTTATGTATCATCGTCCATCGAGTACACTTCACGTTACAGATACAATTATGTACACGGATAAGTTTACACCAATTCTTCGCTTGTTTGGAATGGCTCGTGACGTAATGATTTTTCACCCGTCCATTAGAACACACGGTTTACATCCAACGGCAGATGCTCCATTCGTATTTCGTGATTGGATGCGTAATGTGCTACAGGATTGGCCGTTTGAAAACCTCTGTTGTGCTCATCTCGATGTGAAAATTGGCGATGCGCATCGTTTAGTCACACAACTTTTAAATAAGACAGAGTCGCTGTTTATTAAAGTAAGTAAAAAGAATAAAAAGAAAAATCCTAGTGGAGAATTGCCAGTGGGTAGTTTCCCGAATATCGATGTGGTCGGAGATGAATGTGGATGAATAAAATGATTTATTTATTTTTTTATAAAATATAATTCAATCGATCGAAATATTGGATAACTGATTGCTGTGAATAGAATTCCCACTTCGAAACCAACATCTGCACCTTCGTCACTATTCTCACCTGATACAGCTTTTGCAATTGGTCCAACTAACCATATCTGCGACATACCAAGTCCAATGCCAATACACCCGACGACAGCAGAGAGAATCGCCCCGAAACTAATCGGTAATTGCTGACGATTATTCCAACTATCGAAATCATAATTTTTAAATGAACACCGTCGAAATAAGATGTGATCTTCACATATGATAACAATTAATACAACCGACCAGTAGGATGTAACACTCATGAATGATAACAGAACATCGTTGAATCGATAAGCAGCAATAATAGCTAGGAGAACATAACTTGTCGTACCGACAATAGTATACAGAACACGTGGGATACATTTGAAGACCGGAGCGATGACTTGTGCAGATAAAGATAACGAATACATATTCGGTATATTACATGCTACAGACGATAATGCAAACAGGATCAAAATCAGTTTACCGAAAATACCCAGAGACGATAGACAAGCACCGAATAATCCACCGACATTGTCTTTTTCATATGCATTCTTCCAATTCGAATTTGTATACGTTCCTGTGAAAGTCGCCGCTCCAAGCAGTTGCAATGGAGTCATCGATAGAAAATTACCGAAATAAGTTAGAAGAAAAATTTTCGATTGACTGGTATTCTCAGGAAAATATGCATTGTAATCCGCTGCACATGCAGACCAACTAGCAGAAATACCGAAACAGACTGAACCGAAACTGAGGGCATGCGAGATTTTCCCACGATAATCTACTATTGTCGTATTCAGCGGTGTCTGTCAAAGCAAATGTGTGAACATATTCTTCAGAGATTGGAATATTACCGGTTCAGACAAAGTAAAATACTTTGCACCAACTCCCGCTAATATACAGTATCCAACAAAGACTGGTATCCACGAGTATCGTTCATAGTAATGAATCCATTCGTAGCCAACAAATGAGATAGCCAAAGATAAGATACCAATAATCACAATTCCGATCGTCAAAGGAAATCTTTCATCGAAAACAACACGAAGTGTTTGTGCTCCAGTTATACTATTCACAGCTGCCCAACCGAGTGAAAGAAACACATTGATGAATGACAGGATAGAAGCACCATAGTAACCCCAACTATAACGGGAAATAAGCATGGTACGCAGACCAGATGCTGGGCCAAAACATGCTATACCTGCAACAGGAATAGCTCCAAGTAAATTGAAAATGAGAATTGTTATGATCGAATCATAAAGATTTAAATTGAATACTGCTGGACCAAGTATTCCACTTGTAAAAGTCGGTATGATTGTATTCGCACCCATCTGTGGAACATTACGTTAAGAATTCTCACATGATACTATGAAAATATTCCTTACCCACATTAATGCTGTATTAATGATAGTAGAATCAGTTCGATCTTCGGGCAAGATACGATCACTTCCACGCGTTTCTACTTTGAAACAGCTGAATTTCTTCAACCATTGCATGATACTTAAACCGATTTTAGGATTCTGATCATTGCTATTAATACATATTGCTGATGTACTCGAATCATTCGGCATTTTCTGCCTTACACGATCCAATCAATCCTACTTATTTTATAGAGTATGTTGACCTCGTACTTCGGTTTTTCTTTTCATTCTCTTTTCACCTACGTGTCGATCGTTGTAAAACAACATGTGCATGATGATGAAAATGTTTTAATTGTGATTCTCGGTAATAGTTGTTGAAAAGGTGAATTTTATGATATATAAGCCATAAGTAAAAGAGCAAATAAAGATGACATTTTCTGAAAAATGTTTAATTAAGATACAACACACATAATGATGAAATTCATCCTCAGTCAATCATTTTCGACTATCATACCATTAGCAGCGCTTGAAATTGTACATCCATCGTGAAAGCCATTTGATTGGAGTCATTCAAAGTTATCTTTGCTATTGATTCATAATATACGATATTTGTTTCGAAATAAAGCCAAAGGGTGCGGATTTTAGCAGCGTACTGTGACTGTATGTCAGTACGTATGATTGAAAATCGGTAAAACACAGACGAAATAAGAAGGCAGCCGTTTTGAAATGCAACATGATCGTTAACCAATCGCGCATACCTCTCACGAATGTTACCTAATAGTTGAAGAATTGTGAAGCTTAGTTTAAGTAGATAGTGAACCACCAAAAACTTTGCCAATATCTTTCATGTTCTGTATATATACATGATTTGTGAACATGTCGAAAAATGAAACTCTGTTGGTGAACTTGAGAGAAACTTACATAGAGATGAGAAAGACACCGGAAGCTAATTAAAGTTATCATTATACATATAATAGGAAAAACTCGGTGTTGGATTGTAATGACTTTTTCCAAAGCAGTATTTGAATTCCTTAATTCAAATTCGTATGAGTTCGGCATGTATGTTATTATCGGAGGCATCAGAAACAACAGGAGAAATATTAGTCCTCAAGTCAGAACACAATAATGGAAAAGTCCACTGTTTTCACGTGTCGGTTGTAGAATACGACAATGGTCATCGAAGAGAAAATTCACCTCCAAGTTTATTCGATATTATTTTACGAACCTATGTATTGTACTTTCTATAATTCGAGAAATAATGGCCAAGCCATGGTGCTGATCATGCACAGTGGAAAAAAACATGTACGTCATGGTTTTAAATCAGTATCGGTGTTGATTCATTCCATTTTAATAGCTTTCCGAAAGAAATAAGCCTTGAAATGTACCGTTAATCTTCTCTTTTATATCAACATAGCGCTTAGTATTGTATTTCTCTTTCCATTTTCTCATACAAATAACTTCATTTTTGTATGCATACGTTTCATTGTTATAAAACGATTATATTTTACAACATGCTGTTATATCTGTTATCACTCACTGTCACATTTTGTGCTTTGACTAATGCTCAAAGTGGCATCAGTTATAATCAAGGTAGAGCCAGTTACATGGATGCCGGTCAATTACATATGATAAGTGGATCAGTCACCAATCAATCTAAACAAGATGTGCTCTATTCACATCTACTTATTCAGTTAGCCGCTAATGCGAAAGCACCTCGATCAGCAATTTCGTCATGGTATCAAGTATACGAACGAACTTTATCAACTCTTGCTTGGATTGTGTCGTCCTCTGCAAAATTCACACCATTTACTCCGAGCACTGACCGCGTTTCTCTCAAATCTGTTATCACAACATCGTTAGCCAACCGAATCAATCCTGAATTACAGAATATCTTAAGTCGTAGTTTCGAAAGATTCCAACAAATGAAAGCGGATGATCCTGTAATTGTAGAATTCACCAAAGATTCAAGTGATGGCAATACTTATAACATTCAGGTGCAGATAGTCGATGAAAAAGCCGGTGATTTGTCTGTTCTCCAATTGTATGTAACACTGACAACTTCAGAAAGTATTGGCAACGATATCTTCTTGCTACATGAATTTGCTAAAAACGCAGCGAACATTCAGATCGCATATGAAAGTATTACGTTGAATAGCGATCTTTATGCAACTATTCGTCAAAGTGTGATTAACAAACTCGGACCAGAACGAATTGCTCGTTACATTTCGAGAGTATTTGATGATGGATCGATGATATTTTAAGCTAATAAAAAAAAGGGTTTATCCTTATGATGTTTCATTGATAAATTGAGGAATTAATTGAGCAGCTACTTCGATGCCGGGTTCTGTTAAAGAAAGATAATGAACACCGTGTTCGACGATTACGAATTTCCATAAATTAGGTAATTTCGATGTCCATGTTTGTGCTTCTTCAACTGTAAATATACGATCTTCGGTTCCGTGTAAAACTAACGTTGGCACAGTGATTTTCTCCAGTTGATCATCAATTGCTTCGCGATTGAGAAGACAATTCAATGCTGGATCATAACATTCAGCACCCGCATACCGTTGTATCCACATATCTCGAATTTTTCTGAATACTTTTCTACCGACACGCGTAGGTCCGCCAAAAGATGCTGCTCGCACCAACATTGCTTCATCTGAAGGAATTTTTGTTCTACACCATTGATCACGAGATGCTTGCATATAAGTTTTGAGCTGTTGCGGTGTTGCATAAACCGAAGTAGATAATAATATCAAACCTTTCACCCGATTAGGTTCCAGTAGTGCCATGCGCAAAGCAATAAAACCTCCCTGTGTAGACCCCATAGCGTAGAACTGATCAACGCCAAGTTTGGTAAGAAGCTGTAACGAATCGGCAGCCGAGTCCCAGAATGTAAAGTCGTTCCCACGACCGATTGTTTCACCATGACCATGTGCATCGATTGATATAAGATTATAATTTGAATATCGACTATCTTTAAATTGTTGATCATAAAATCGAGAATTCATTAAGAAAGCATGATGCATAACGATGCTTGGCAATGATGTATCAATCGAATGTGATAAACGATAAGCAATACGAACACCGTTTTCCAACGGCATATGGAGCAATTCTTTGCGTAGCATAATCGATTCAAGTGAATACCATCAACGTATTTGTAAAACGAAACAATATTTTTAGATGGCACCATATGTGGTTTTCTTCCTTTCAATAGAGAAACCTCTTGCTGAATTAAATTATACTTAGAGAGGAAGTTGAAAAAAAAGGGGACACCTTCACCCTCGTTGCAGCAGTTTTATCTTTCTTTTCTTATCTTTTACCTACTGCTCTCTCTCCCAAAAATTGAAATAACTTGCAACAGCAATACATTTGCTCTTGTAGTCTACATTATATCACGAATGACTCATACCAACGAAAAAGAAATGCGAAGCATGTGTTTTTTCGTCCTACACTGAAAGGGTGTTATATACTGAATGAGTTCTTCAATTATTTAGCACGCGTTAGTCTTCAAACAAAATTCAGCCAAAAGATATTCGATTTTGATTTTTTCTTATGCATTCTGAGAGGCTGAAATGATGATGACTATAGACATAGTACAGATTTTTACGTTGTAATATGAAGAGTTTCGAAAAAGTGAACAAGACAGAAAGTTGTAGAGCAATTATTGTTACTTCTTGAGCCTTAATATTCGGCATATTGTTTTATGGAGCGAATGTTCTACATCAAAGCTTGATGTTCCTGACAGAGGAAAATTCCGTTTCGTCTTTGACTCTTTCTGTGGGTAAATGATGAATAGTTATCAAATGAACATGAGAGATTCTGATTTCTTGAGCGTCTTTAAATTTTGCCAGTATTTCTTCTAAAATACATACCGAGTAAAGAGTAACAAACGCTCTGGGTTTTAAGAGAATTTCGTTTGTAGCATATATTCAAAAAAATGTATAAATAGCTAAATTCAAATGTTGATTTTTAATCTTCTTAACTTCTAAAAATCTCAATAGAAAACACTCATAAGCCGAACAAATCTCTAGAATTCCTTGTCATAAACTGAGCGCGGATGTGTTTATATTTAATCTTCTAGATACACGTAAAAGTTTGTTTTGTATTGAAATAGAAACAGCAGTATATTACAATTTTCTTTAAGAAAGCAACACATGATATAATTATATATCTAGTAATTAAACATTTATATAACAGCATGAGAAACGCGCAAGAAAGAAGCATGTTCATTTCAACAAAAGTCTTCTGTGGAAAAGTACATTGAAGCAACAAAAGCATGTTTTGGCTTACAATAGTTTTATCCTTGATTTCGTTGATAAATTCAAGTAAGATTGGTGTAATAGACAACCATATCATGATTAGTACGATAATAAGCGTTTTATCAAACTTAACTCGCGAACAGTGCTTATGCAGTATGATAAGATTGAATGCAGTCGTATCCGCTATCAACTATTTTTCACAAAACCAAACTTGTCAACAGTTGCTTTCAAATAATACTTCGATCCTTATTGGATACCAAGCGAATGCGACTTTCATATTCATCAATCAGTCGATGATTTCAATTCAAATAAACAGTAAGTTTATGGAAAATCGGACTTTCATTTTTATTTGTCGATTTTTTTGTTTGCAGCTGAATCAACAACCACTTCTAGCACCACCACAACATCTGTCACCACTTCCAGTAAATTAAAAACAAAATTTACATTTCACTAATTAAATGACAACATTTCTTTCAGCTCCACCATCTTCTCTTTGTGCGAATACCACTAGTAGTGCGTTTCTATATAAGAATCAATTTATTTACTCACCAACGTCACAAACCTATGCTGCAGGAATGCTAAACAATCAGTTTGGTGTGTACAAAGCGTACGGATATCAAAACGTAACGGCAACGGCCATTTGGAATGCAAAGCAGAAACCAACAACTTATGAAGCTTATTTCGTAGCTCAAGGAGATCGTAACTTGGTTGTTTACGCCGCAAGTGTCGGAACTGTATTATGGTCAGCTAATACCGCTAGTCGAGTTTACGGAGAGCCATTCTGTTTGAATATGTTAGATACGGGTATTCTTATGTATGTCGATGGTAGCGGATCGACTATTTGGCAAACAAACATCGAGCCAAATGGATGATTCTCCAAATGTGTACTGTATGCAGCCTTTTGTGTAGTTGAGTATTTGTGTTAACGACGAAAGTGCATAAGAGAGAAATTTCATGTGATTTCTTTTACTCTTCCGCCAAATTGTTTGTATTCATCACAGTGATGCCAGTCGCTTGTGTCAATAAATAATTCGTGATTTCTTTCATACTGTCTGTGACGTCATGATCAGAACAAACACGGGGGAGACCCGAAACGGAATAAGTTCTCGCTGCACGTAATTTTTTTGTTCCGTGAAAAATCTGAATCATTACTGAATGGCGCACTCTCACATATAAATAGCTGACGAGTGGCATTTATTTGCATTTTTACCTCACAGAGCAGCAAAAATGTTTTTAAAAACAGTTTTGCTTGTTGTGTGTATGATCAATGCGATTCATAGTGTTTCTCTGGAAGAATTTTTTCCATTTGGAACACAAGCTGGCGATGAAATCTTTCCAGCCAATGATGATGGAAGCACAAATGCGTTGTCTCTACCCGCCAACTTCCCTTATTTCGATAACAACCATCGGAAAATCTATTTAGCCAACAATGGCCTCTTTTCATTTCTTGGTCCAATATCAACTTTCGTGCCAGATCCGTTTCCATTGAGTGATGACCGTCGTCTTATTGCGGGATTTTGGTCAGATATAGATACGCGAGGTTACATTCCATCAGGTAACCAAGTATTCTATCACATATATAGCAATGAAGATAATACAACTGCATTCGAAAAAGCCACATCGTACGTTCAACAGTTTTTTCCCAGTGAACATTCATTCAATCCGACAATGATCATAACTGGTACATGGTATCGGGTTGGAGCTTTTTCTCAACAAACAAACAAAAAAAATACATTTCAAATTGTGCTGGTATCAGATTCAATGCGTAGTTTTGCTTTCATGCTATACCACGATATGCAATGGGCTAATCCCGGATATACAAACAGTTCAGCGTATACTTCGGGACAAGCTGGTTTCAATGCCGGCGATGGAGTCATTTTTCAGTTGTTACCCTATTCTCGAACGGCGGACATCATTCGTCTTACAGAAATCAGTAACGTCAATGTTCCAGGTTTATTCGCTTTTCGAATTGATACGGATACAATTACCCTTGGTGGTTGCGGAGAAAACTCGACTATGCAATTTCGACCACGCCGCGGTTCACAACTTGGTTCAACAGCAATTACTATTCAAGGTCCATGCTTTACAAATTTGAGTGAGTCCGCTGTCAAATGTCGATTTGGCGACTCACTAGAAGTTGATGCCATTGTCATCGATGATTTCCAAGCAATTTGCTTGACTCCATCCGTTCCTTTACCCACGTTTGCTAATGTTTATTTAAGCATCAACGGCGGTTGGACATACGAAGCGTTTCCTAGTACATTCACGTATACACGTACAGAGTTCGGAATGATCTCAAGCGATGATAGTGAAGTTATAGTTGTTAATCAGGAACAACTCAGCATTGCGGTGGGCAGTGAAATTACTCTGCAATGGTTTCTTTCTGATAGAACAATGAAGACATGGCCCAATGAAACCATTCAACTTCAAGTACAAATGTGGAGCGTAATATTAAACGAAACAAATGGCGGTATCATACTCAACACTCATACTGTTCTACAATCAAATATCGCTCCGACTGCTGGTTTACAATCAACAAGTGTTACTATTGCATCGCTTGGTAGTACTTACACACAGCCCATCTTCTTTCGTATTGTCGCACTCGATTTGGAAACCAACCTTATCTATGCTGCCTTGAGTTCAGCTTTATTTGTTCTAAATGATACTACGGCCGGATCGACAGATTATTGCCAAAGGTGGGCAGCGGGAGAGCCCGAACCAACCACATGGAATGAAAACCTCTTGTTGTGTCCATTAAGATTGTCTCAAGCACGTGTGGCACGCTGTTGTTATGAAGCAGATCCTCTGTGCTCCGAATATAATCAGGATTCACCTTTGAATTGTGCGCTTCATCGCGGCCGAGAAGGACACGACGAACCGTCCGCTGTTGCATGTTATGTATCACTGACACGGAATGAAGCTCAATCCGGAGCCGAATGCTGCTATGATGGCGAAGGTCAACTGATCACTCATGGTACAGGTGCAGGAACCGACGATCGTTATCGACCTGGCTCTTTACCTATTCTTCATTTCTTTGGTGATATCCTACCATATATTGGATGTTGTTTGTCGAATTCGAATTTTGAGAACTGTGAAACGTACTTTCGTCTCCGACCAATACGTAGTGGCAGTAACACGCGAAATCCATCCGGTGGCGCGTGGGGTGATCCACATTTTATCACTCTCGATGGAACCGCGTATACATTCAATGGCTATGGCGAATACACTTATTTAGCAGTTACAGATTCAGCACTATCGACACAAACACTTGTTTTTAATTCGCAAGTCCGCACTGCCCCATTGAATTCAACTAGCAATACAGTAACAGTTATTCGTGGTTTTGCAGCGAAGTCAAATCATCCCGATGCGAAACGCATGAGTATTACGATTTCACGACGAAATACGCTCATTGTCCGACGTGGAAATGAAACTCTCGATCTTGATATTACTAATGATGATAGGATTTCGTCGAACAATTCACTGGCCATCGTTTTCCCAGAACTCGTTCTAGAGAAAAATCGAACAAATGGTGCCTTAACACTTTCCTGGTCAATTGGAATCAGTATTCAAATTACGCCAATTCCAGTTACAGGTGGTCTCCTACTCAACCTTGGTATCTCAGTTTCCAACGCACATCTGCAACGAACATTCGGTCTTCTTGGGTTATACGACAATGATCCCACCAATGATCTTCGTACACCGAATGGAACTGTTGTTGGTCAACCAAGTACACTCACATTAGAACAGATTCATTATGAATTCGGTCAGGCTTGGACAATCAATCCAAGTCAGTCATTTTTCTACTATGAATCCGGTGATTCGGCTCTGTTTTATGCAAATCAAACTCTTCAGTATAGACCATTATTTGAATTACCTGAACTTTCGACAGCAGAAATGAATGCAATACGCTCCGCATGTGGTATTGCTTCGTCAGCAACAAATCAATCGACCTGGACTGTAGCTCAACAAACATGTTATTATGACATAGCTGTAACAAACGACTTATCGCTGGGAGAAGCATCAAGACTTGTTGCAAACACAATTGCTCAAACCGAAGCAGATCAACGTTATGCACCAGAATTCAATTCATCTCTGCCGTTAACTCTTGCGGTTAATGCAAACGCCTCAGTATCAATTAATTTCACAGCAATCAGCCCGTATACAACAGATATCACTTATACATTAGTTCAAGGTCCAGCCTCTGCTACATTCAATCCTGCTACCGCCATTTTCCGTTGGACAGTACCTTCTACAGGTCGTGGTTTGAGTGCAGTTGTACGTGTCAGCGCACAAGATACCCTCTACAACCTCGTGTCCACACGTGACCTTGTTATTCGTGACGTCGTTAGCTCTGTTCCTCCAACATCGCTCGGTACTATTTTAAGGATCGCATGGATGTTCTTACTCGTCAATCTCGTCGGAACATTCGTTCTTCTCTAATGATTTGATTTTGAAGTTTTCTTAAGTTCATACTTTTTTTTGAAGATTTTTCTATCCAAGGATTTTTGATCCAGAAGCAAAATATGTATCAAGCTTTTATATTTATCCAAGAAGTAATGCGATACCTGTAGCCTTGCAATTCATTCATCATTCGATTTGTCGGCCCTATGCCCTACTCTATTTTTGTTCGTGGAATAAATCAACCCTTTGGATCTTATGATCCCTTAGCAGAGCCCCTTTGTCACTGTTTCCCCATCTCTTCGAACGAGAAAGAGCTCTTTTGAGTGGAAATGAAACTTTCCACGTACCTTTATCTTTTGAATGTATTATTCTCATTTGTCATTCATTCATTGCTAATTGTAAAATTGACCTGCTCTTGAACGAAAGTCGACTGGCAACAAATTTATTAGTCAGAGGAATGTTATTGTTAAGATCATCGTTATGTCAATCATTAAAATCAATTCCGAGTGAAAAATCGCGTATATTCAAATGCGCGAGTGAATGTGCCTAATGATCATAAGCGACATATCGAAACCAGTCCGGTGTCATGGGATGCGTAATTCTATTTGCTATACAGAACGAAAGAGAAAAAAAGTAGTAGACACGTTTTCGTCGTGTTCGTTAACAAAGTCACATATAAGCAAAGAATACAGATAAGAAGCGAGAACGAAAATTTCATTTTCAGATATAATGTCATCAGATACGGGAGTTTTACGTACTCCCGAATCGGCATTTGATAATCTTTTAGATTATCCATTTCGACCAAACTACATTGATTTAGCAAATCCGGGCTCGATCGGTAATGGCCGAACAAAACTACGTTTACATTATCTAGACGAAGGAAACAAGAATAGTCCGGACACGATTTTATTGTTACACGGCGAGCCAAGCTGGAGTTATTTGTATCGACATTTTATTCCAGTCTTACGCCAGTATCGAGTTATAGCAGTTGATTTGATTGGATTTGGAAAATCGGATAAACCAGCCAATAAAGAAGATTATACTTATCAAAGACATGTGAATTGGATACGAGAGTTTATTGAAAAACTGAATTTAAACAATATTACATTGTTTTGTCAGGTAATACGCTTCCCTCGTAGACGATTAATTTCAAATATCTGAAACGTAGGATTGGGGTTCTTTAATTGGTTTACAATTGGTTGGAACGAACGGAGTCGGTGATCGTTTTGCTCGAGTTGCCGTTGCTAATGGTGGATTACCTACTGGTGATGGAAAAATTTCACAAGGTTTTCTTCAATGGCGCAATTTTGCAGCACAGCAGACAGAAATGGATGTCGGCAACGTAATCAAGTTCGGAGTGGTCAAAGATATGAAACCGGAAGAAATCGATGCATACAATGCTCCATTTCCAAATGAGAAATACCAAGCAGGTGCTTTAATATTTCCATTGTTAGTTCCCATCACTCCGGATAATCCATCATCGGAATATAATCGTCAAGCATGGAAGAATTTGAAGAATTTCCGTCGACCTTTTCTAACGCTTTTCTCGGATTCCGATCCGATCACAGCTGGTCTTGACAAAGCTCTGCAATCAATGATTCCAGGCACCAAAAATCAACCACATACGACAATTACCGAAGCTGGACATTTCTTACAAGAAGATAAACCCCACGAAATCGCCGAACATCTGATCAAGTTTATCAAAAATAATCCTTTGGTATCTTCACGATTATAAATATCATAAAAAAGTCTACATCTTATGTAACCAACAGAATAAATATTGTCCTTCATCTTACATAACAACGAGAAAAAGACACAAAACATACTGTTACCTTTCCTTTTTGCATGCTCCTCTATTCTCTTATGTAACACACCGATAACACTATTATATATACTCACATCAGGACTTTTTCTTTTATTTTTTCTAAAAGAATCCATGAATAGTCAAATTTTACCTACAGACGTCGAACATGGTTCGGCACTGACACATTNCGATCGCATCGCAATAATCGTTTACTGTTAAGTCGATCAACTTCGCATCACATTGAACAGGATAAGTTTCTCGACAAGAGCCAACTTTGAGTTGAAATTCATGTTCGGCACAACCACCACTATACTGAACTTGAATATCGATTGTTTTGGTCTGTTTATTGTATCGAGCATCTCGAATAAACGGCATGTATTGTGCGTTTATCATTGACGAACAAAGCACAATCATTGCCAATATAACAAGAGAAAAATCCAATTGATGAAAAGCCATGATATCGAATGATGAGAAATTACAAATGGTAATTTTTTATACTGAATTTCAGCAAACTATTTCAAATGAAGTTTTAATCCATTCCAGCTGTACAACGAGAGGCAATGCAATATATATTTTTCTTTTCTACAAGCCTACCCTATGCGTCACTATGTAATTAAACAAAATGAATCATTGTTATAGGCGACATCTCTCTCATATACATATACTTTTTCTCTCGCTCTCTCTGCCTATATCAATTGCTATACCGGTACTTCTTCACTTTAAACACAGTGCAGAACAGGAAAGAGAAATTATTGGAGAGAGAGAGACAACCAATCGAATGTATAGAACGGAAAAAGAGAGATAAAACATATAGATAGACACTGTAGATGACAGTATAATGCTGTCACAGAAATATGATTGATAAGTGATGCGTTTGATAATTGTTTAATCTTCTTATATTAATATAAAAATAAAAAGTATCTAATTAAAGAGCATAGAAAAGAAGATCAAATAATTTGTCTCATAAATGGGACATGAATATATAACGACTCATTTGCCATTTCGAAACATTAAATATATTTTTCACAAATATCATTCTTATCGAACTTAATATTTATGATGAACATTACTTTGAATGATCTTGACACTTTAAATGTACGACGAATTCATAAGATTATGATATCAGACGAAGCTAATATTAAATTCCTACAACACCTTAAATTACTACCTGTAATTCCTAAAATAATTGAGCAATGTAATGAATTTGCAACTCATGATTGGTATTTGGCGAAACTAACACGACTAACTGACGGTAAGAAATATAAATTACAGGGAGGTCATCTACAGTGTCTATCTATATGTTTTATCTCTCTTTTTTCGTTCTATACATTCGATTGGTCGTCTCTCTCTCCAATAATTTTTCTTACCTGTTCTGCACTGTGTCTAAAGTGAAGAAGTACCTAAATATGTACGTGTGATAGTGTGAAGAGAGAGCATCGAGAGGAGTGTTTTTCCACGCGTGTAACTTTTCATTTTCACAATAAACTAAGAAGTTCCGATAACACAAACTCACTTGTCTCTAATAATCATACAAGCAAACAGTTTCTTGTTTGCATGCAAGCTCACAGCCGATATTTGATAATCAATATGTGCTTTATGTATGAGGGCATATGAATGAATCCAAGTTAATCTGACTTTTCAAGAAATACTTGTCGCCAGTAGATATCAGGTTTTCAGAATTTATTTTGCCATTCAAAATAGCGCCTTTTAAATGTAAGACAGGAACTTTTAGTAACACGCAAATACAAAAAACGACGAAGATGCTATTAGAATAATGAATTTTATTTCAATTAAAGAAAAGAAAACTTATTTTTTGTTCTTAATAAAATAGTTCTTTAATATCCTGATTAAAAAGAGCGAGTCTACTCGGAAATAGAATCTTGTCAGCGTTCAGCATATATAAATACGGCTTGCAATATAAATACTTTCATCTATCTAACAAGAGACTTTTTTCCACAAAGATGTCGAACAGCACAAGTACAGCAAGCGATTCCTTAGTTGTTGCGTATTATCCATTCACTTTAGTCATTGTTGGTACTTCGTTGAATATCTTAACGTTTGTTGTACTTTGTCGATCAACGTTTCGTGATACGAAAAAGCAACCAATCATTCATTACATGCGCACCATCGCGATCTTCGATATTCTGATGTTATACGGATGGAATCTCGATCATTATCTTCAAGCTGTGCACGGTTATGTCTTATTGACATACACCATTGCAACATGCAAGATTTTTGGCTTTTTGAATTATTTTGCCTGTCAATCGTCAGCTTGGTTACGAGTTTTTATCTGTCTGGATCGGTATTTATCGATCAGTCGGCTTCATCGAACATGGTTCAGTCGAGAAAAAAGTGTTTTAATCATCATTGCATCTGTCATCTCAATTCTTACTTTATTCAACTTGCATTTTCTGATTTTCACCTGTTACTACCGACCAAGCGGGAGAATCAGTCCCAATTCTCCACTATATATTATTTATCCCTTATGGGATTATGTCAATTTAGGTGTGTACAATTTTGCACCATTTATTCTCATGGTGACACTTAACAGTGGAGTGATTTATCATTTATATCGTCGTCACCAAACACAATTGATTCAACAATCCCGAATTAATCACCGAGCGATTTCGATTACACTGGTTATTACAACATGTCTCTTTCTGATCATGACAGTACCAGCAAACATTGCTTCTGCATTTTCTGACATACCTCCACCAATATCGGTTAAAATTTTAGATTCATTTTTGTATACTTATCATATCTTATCGTTTCCACTTTATTTTCTCACATTTAAAGAATTCCGACAAGAATGTATTATGATGTTTACATGTGGCAAAAATCAACATCGAGTTCGACCAACGTTGACAGCGACTCATACAGGCGCAGGTATCACTAAATAAAAGCACACAAAAACAAATGTTGTCGTATCATTCCGCCCTCCTACTCTATTTATCTGTATACCCTTTTCTTTTTTGAAAACTTGAAATAAATTATCTCAATTAATGAAGGAAGCCATGCAGAAACATGTTACTGATATGCAATTCACTTGACACGCAAGAAAAACTAATTGATATTGAGAAAGGGGCGCGTTATAGAAAATAGAAAACAGGTTGAGAGCGACGTCTAATAAGTGACATATAAATAGTGCCTTGCACTTTAGTTGGTAAATACGTGTATGGTATTTAAAGAAGAATTACATTTCGTCAAACAAATTTTATAACGATCATGCAAACAGGACTTGCTTGTTTCACTTTTCTTCTACTTTGGACTCAAACAAGTATGTGCAAAAACTTTTTATGATGAAATATAAAGTCTTCTGTATTGTTGTTATATAGTAGCCGGTAGAACATACTATGTAACAAAATCTGGCTTGGATTCCAACGCAGGAACGAGTCAGACATCTGCTTGGTTAACAGTTCAAAAAGCAGCGAATTCGGCAACACCCGGATCCACGGTTTACATTGGTCCTGGAACATATTATGAAACGGTAACGGTCAATGTACAAGGAAATGTCCGAGATGGACTAATTACATTCGCTAGCTTGATCTATGATAGTCCAGCAGTGATTTCTGGCAAACAGGCTAAAACAGAATCTGCTGATGGCACCATGAACATCATTTTTATTCAAGAGAAAAGCTATTTGCGCTTTGTCAATTTAGAATTAACAGATTTGAAAGCAGTAGAATGTAGTGGAGTGAGAATTACTGGCGCTGGAACCAATGTTGGTACGTTTTGAGGTCGTCATTATCAAAAATATAGTTTTTGTTTGTAGAACTTCGAGGTTTGCATATTCACGATATTCGTGGCGGTGGACAGAGCGGCGGAGCAATGCCAATCACGGTTTACAATAAAGATCAAACGGCAAGTCGACGACAAGTGATCGTTGATAGTTGTATACTTCATGATTGTGAGCCAGCATGGAGTGAAGCTTTGACATTCAATGGAAATATTGAAGACTTTCAAGTGACTAACAACAAAGTGTATAACATGAACAACATTGGAATCGATTTCATTGGTCTGTAGAACTCAGCCGGTTGTCAGAAATTTTATAATTTCTTTCCTTCTCTAAAGGTGGAGAAAGCTTCCTCGGTGCTCTTGGAGTGCGAAATGGTCTCTGTGCTTATAACCTCGTGTGGAATATTCACTCCGTCTATGATAGTAGTTCAGCGGGCATCTATGTTGATGGAGCATCGAATGTCACTATCGAATATAACGAAGTACACCATTCGGACATGGGGATTGAAGTTGGCGCAGAGAATAAAGGTCGAGTGGCTTCAAAGATGACTGTTCGGAATAATTATCTTCATCACAATGACAAATTTGGCTTAGCTTTTGGCGGATATGATTCTCAGTAAGTTATATTTATGCATACTCTCGTGACATGAAAATACGTGTACGTGAATACATTATAGACGTGGTCAAGTCACCAATAGTTTATTTATGAATAATCGTCTTGTACAGAACGATGTACGTCTTACCGGTGGTGGAGAAATTTCAATTTCATTTGCTTCGGGCAATGTAGTTTATGGTAATACGATAAAACCGAACTCACAAAATGTAATTCTACTTGCCAGTCAAGAAGGTGGTTTGAATAATCAATTCGACTATCAAAAGTACTATCCGAATGGTCAAGGTGCTACAAAAGAAAGTCTTATCTTCTTTTGGGGAAACACGCAGTATGATGGTTTGACTGCCTTTCAACAGAATGCCAAACAAGAAGTGCATGCAGAACTCGGCGTTAGCAAACGTGCTTTTGGACGTAAACGCTTTTTCCTATAAAGTTCGAATAAAATATATGTGGCGATCGCATATCACATGAAAGTGACACTGTTGTCGGAGAATGAGAAAGAAAAAATTGAAATATATAATCATCATTTCGATCTGAAGAGGCGGTGACACCGAAGCATATTTATTTATATTTGCAAAGGCAT